TGCGCCAAGGCACCGGCCGCGGCGGCGGCCGCAAGCGCCTGCCACAAGCGCAGCACGCGTTCGCACGGCCCTCGCCGCGCCGCTCCACGGGCGTGCGCCCAGCGCGTCCGGGCGGCCGCGTCCGGCGCCGGCCGCCAGCCGCGCGTGCGGCGCGCCCCGCGCTCCCGTGCAGCGCGCAGGTGCATCGCGCCGTAAGCGAGCACGGCCCGTCGGCTGGGCCACCGCCGGCCGGCGGCGCACCATCGCAACCCCGCCCACGCACGTTAAGTTCGTGCCACCGCTCACAACGCCGCGCTCGTGCAACCGCCGTGCGCCCGTGCCGTCCGCCTGCGCGGGCACACGCGACACTTTGAGATTCAATGTCTTCTTCATTTTCATTGCATCTCATTCATTCAATCATTTCAGTTTTTTTCCGTCGCGACATTGGCCATTCTTGGCAGACTCACGCGAACGTGCAGTTATACGCAAGGCTCAGGTCCAGATCGTGTTAAGTTGCACCAAAGGGTCAGTCGTTTGTTAGTATGCACCAAGGTCAGTGCGTAGTAGTTGTCACAGTCAGTCGTGTTAGTTGCTCCAGGTCGATCGTGTTAGTTTGCACCAAGGTCCGATCGTGTTAGTTGCACCAAGGTCGATTCGTGTTAGTTTTGCACCAGGTCGATCGTGTTTTAGTTGCACCAAGGTCGCAGTCGTGTCTAGTTGCACAAGGTCGCAGTCGTGTTCGTTGCAGCCAGGTCCAGTCGTGTTAGTTGCACCAAGGTCAGTCGTGTTAGTTGCACAGGTCCGATCGGTGTTAGTTGCACCAAGGTCGATCGTGTTAGTTGCACGCAAGGTCAGTCCGTCGTTAGTTGCACCAAAGGTCCAGTCGTGTTAGTTGCAGCAAGGTCGCATCGTGTTAGTTGTGTATTTTGCTCTTGATGTATGCACGTGGAAAACATTACTTAGGTGGACATCAGCATTGGCTTCGAGTCGCATTTTACACCCCCGGGTTGTCGGCCTGGGGGTGCGGAAGAATGAAATTATGATGTGAGGGTGAGAACGACACTCTCATACAACACCGCATGTATCCAAATACACCTGAGACTCCAACGAGATATTCTATGGTTTTCCTGCTTAACACGGATGTCTCGATCTGAAAGCCTCATGTCATTCATATTATTATTAATTATTTATTATTATTATTATTATATTATTATTTATTATTATTATTATTATTATTTTATTCTTATTATTATATTATTATTATTATTATATTATTTTATTTTATATATTATTATTATATTAATTATTATAATTATTATTATTATTATTATTATTATTTTTATTATTATTATTATTATTTTATTATTATTATTTTATTATTATTATTTATTATTATTATTATTATTATTTATTATTATTTTTATTCTTAATTATTATTATTATTATTTTATTTTTATTATTACATTATTATTTATTATTATTATATTTTTTATTATTAATTATTATATTGTAAAAACATATTGTATTTTCAACTATTATTTAAAATATTAAAAGTTACATATTATACGGAGAAGTGGGGCCCGCCGCCGCCGCCTCCAGCAGCCGCACCGTCAGTTCCTCCGGGGGCGGCGCGCCCGGCCCCGCGCCGCGCTCCGCCTCTGCCACCGCACAACACAGCGCCCGCGCTGTTACTTCGATAGTGGCCGACGGCATCACGTCAATTTTGCACCTCTTGCCTCATAAAATCTATCTTCTTCATTCGCGAACGGGACTCGTGACCTCAGGAAGGTGCTTACCACCGTTAAAAAATCATCCATTTTACGACGCAGGAGGTGTAACAATGACGTAATGTAATCGGTCACTAGAAAAGACTAGTCCTCCGGGGGCGGCAAGCCCGGGCCCGCGCCGCGCTCCGCCCCTGCCCCTGCCACCGCACAGCACAGCGCTCGCGCTGTCACTTCGATAGTGGCCGACGGCATTACGTCATTGGTGCACCTCCTGCCTCATTAAATCTATCTTCTTAATTCTCGAACGGGCCTCGTGGCCTCAGAAAGGTGCTTACCGCCGTTAAAAACATCCATTTTATGACACAGGAGGTGTAACAATGACGTAATGCCATCTGCCACTAGAAAAATCGAAGTATAGCCTGCCGCGGCAGTCACGGATCGCCGCTCATGTCTTAGTCGACTGCGCACGCTCTAGAATATGAAGTAATTCATTCAATTTTTACTTGGCTGCCCGGGTGATGCCGCGTCCATGGTGAAGGTGCCGACGTTTAGGACCTTCTTCAGGGCGTAATGCGGCAATGGCGACCGAAACGTCGGCACCTTCGCTATGGACGCGGCGTCACCCGGACAGCCAAGTAAATGCTGACTCCGGCCACGGAAGCCTACGCTTTTAATTCATTCATATTCCCTGTGCATTATTTTTTACCATGGAAAATTACTTCATCTAGTCTAGTGACGTATTTTCTGTTTTCTTCC